TTTCATTTCCGTCCAAGTTAAGAATGATATGACTCATCGAAAACTGCACCATCGAAAATTGCGGCTCGCGAAACATTGCAAATTTTGAAAAATGGTTTGGACTATCAAGGAGCTTGGCCACCCTTGACATATACTATCCGTTCAATAATTACTACATGTGTTTTCAATGCATCTAAAAAAAAGCCTGTCCTGAAAGGGTTTGTGGTTATTATTGTCACCGGAGCCCCCCCACCCATTACACGAAAACCCTAGGTGCGATTTATTCACTTTTGGAAATACTGGCGGTAAAGTGCGCTATTTTTTCAAATCTAGAAAACTAGAAGAGTCCGACTATTGCATGTATAACAAAAACTTGTTCAGAATGATGACCTTAACAACATATTTCAAGGTGATCAAAATCGGAGGCTCAATATTTACCCACGAAATAAGAACGGTAAAAATAACATTCATGAGATTATATGTAGGCGATTATTATTAATGAATGTTTCTAATATATGATACATAACTTATCTAACGAAGAAAAGAGGTGGCTTCCTTATTCCAAATACTTACCCAATTGTAAATAGACACAAGTTATAATAAAAGGTTTACAAAAACAGGCATCTACATATTTATTTTATCATTTTTCAGCGTCTACAAAACAGAAATGCTACTCAAACAGTTAGTCCTTTCGATAAATAATTATGAATACTTTTTTCCAGACGTACGATATCCACGAAGATGTTGCTGGGCACAACGATCCTTTTATCGCTACTGCTGTATGGAACCGCCCAAGAGGACTTTCCGGACATTTGTCAAAATCGAACTTTAGTTTTGAACAATGTAATGGCTAGTATACTGCAGCCGGATTTCATTAATTCTCCTGGTTTGAAATGCCTAAGCATCCCATACAGTTACATCTTTACTACAATGGATGGTGCTTTCAATAAAGTACCAAATTTGGTATACCTCGATTTCGGAATAAGCAGAATTCCGCCAGAAAATATGTTCTCTTTTGGTAACATGCCACACCTCCAACGACTCATTATCCGTAAACAAGACGCACAATTTTATAGCGGCGTAGTATCCATAAATAACGTCTACCCGGCACTTGAATATTTGGATTTAAGTAATGAATTTGGATATTCTCAGATTCAGAATATATGGAGCCCAAAAAAATATCCATTTCCAAACTTAAAGTATCTAGACATTTCCGGAAATAGGTTTTATAGTTTTATCCCTTTCGCCCTATGGGACGATACTTTGATACATTTGAATGTTAACAACAATAGGCTCTCAAAAGTTTATCTTACGCAGTCAAGCAATCTAGTAGAACTACTGTTGGATGGCAATGAACTTCGCAGAATAGGCGATAATTATGATTTGGACCTATCGGGTTTAGACAGTTTGGAATACCTTTCTGTAATAAAAAATAAACTCAATTTTATTAGTAAGGAAGCATTCAACGCAACGCTTAATCTTCGATACTTGGACGTCTCCATGAATAATTTGTCAACCTTGCATCCTGAAACGTTCACGAACTTGATCTCGCTGGACACTGTTATTTTGGATTATAATCATTTCGATACTGTCCCTGTAAAGGGACCTTTAAACGTAACCACCTTATCGATGATTTGCAATAACTTAACGTATTTATCAGCTAACTCGTTGCAAAATTTGACACAACTGAAAAAGTTGTCTTTAGGCGGAAACAGGATCCAGCTGATCGACTCGGATACATTCAAGTCTCAAGGATGGTTGGAAGAATTACATTTGAACGATAATAAGTTGAAATACTTGCCAGACTATTGGTTCCAATACCTAAAGAACCTTCGATACTTAGACCTATCGGGAAACGGTATTACTTCCATTGAATACATGTTCAATACAGATAATTTTTCTCTGGAACGTCTTTATCTTGAAGGTAATCCTCTGAAATACATAGAGCCTAACGTGCTGACTATGATACCAAAAAATGTCACCATTTATCTAAATATTGGAGAGCAACGTTCCAAAAATTTCTGTGGACTTTAATCTGAACAGATCAGGAGATGTACTTTTTGATGGTGTGTGATTGTTTAAGGTGGTTGTATGATGATAGACAAATTCAAATGTTAACACGTTGATATTCACCAAATGAAGTAATCGCGGATAACAATTTTCAATGTAAAATAAAGAAGTAAAACATTTTAATAGAAAAATATGGAAAAACTAAATATTTTTTTGTTATTCGTTCGATATAAACTACTTGCGAAAAACGTTAGTTGTAACATTCATTATAACTTATTTCTAAGACTTTACAGTAAATTATTTTCATATCTTATTCTTCTACAATTTTTTAACATTTTAAGATAATTTAAAAAAGGGTTCTTATTCTGTCCACTACTTGCTATATTCTCAAATGTTTTTTTTCCAATTCCAAAATATCCGTGCTTGCAAGTATTCCTATTCCAAGCTTTTAAATTTCTAAATTAACAATCATTTGAACTTCAGAATTCTTCCACTTCTGAAACTGTTAAATTGCTAATTTTTCAAAATTAGAAGTTTTGTAATTTGAATTTTGTAAGTTTAAAATCTTCATAACGAACAAAACCATATAAAAACATCTTTTAAAAAGTTTTAAAAGCAAAATTGCAAACTCCGGCTCTATTTGACTCTTAAATATAGTATAAAGAATATCTCAGAAAAAAAGTATGAGGAAATATTGCTGTTTGGCTTCAAAATCTTGCTTTTAGTAAGACGTATTTGTACACAACTTTTGAAACCAAACATCTACTGACCTTGTTTCTTCTGACCAATAGAATACCATGTAACGACTCTGGACTTTTACCTACTGAATGTGGGATTCATGTGGTGCGCGGTTAAGGAATGAAATCCACAGGTCAATATCTTTCAACAATAAGATCTATTCAATCACCGATAAGAAATTAACAAATAACAATAACAATAACAACAAAAATAATTGTTCGGCCGCGAACCGAAACCTTTGCCGCGGTTAAACGATTTATTGCAGGGCCCAAGCGGTTCGGCGCGTAAGCCACCATCAATAGTTTTTACTTCGGAATACGGGTCACCGGGGACCCTATTGTCTATCACATCCGGCCCGAACGGATCTTACCGTAGACATGTACGTATCATAAACCGGCTACAGCTGTACCTCTCGTTTAAACAGTTTTTGACAAACAAAGGCATAGAATTTCTCTGGACCGTTACTTTCGGAAACGCGAGGGTGTTCAGGCTATTTCTTTTATAAAAAATAGACAATCGAACGTTGAAGCTTGCACGGTTCGGATCGAGAGTCGAAGAAGTCAATCGTGACTTAGAAGTTTCCGCGTAACGCGACGTAGTATAACCAATGCAGGGTGGTTCGGAAATCATTCACAACACCATTCGAGCGAGACCCTGCACTCCTCGAGTGGGCCACGGTAGGGTGGTTAA